CATGTTGGTGTAATATGAATTTCATTTGTATTCTAGTTGTTGAAGACCTGGAACATATGTGGCCATGCTTTGAATGTAATGAGAGGTTTGTCAGCTCTGAAGAGCTACAGAAGCACTTGAATGTTCATGACAATGAACGGGTGAGTTGGGCGTGGTTTTATAAGCCCAGATGTTGTAAATCTGCATAGATTTTATGTAAGCTGCTGTAATCACAGTGTGTATCATACTTCTGTTTTTCTAACACCTGAATTTATTTCACGTAGGAGGAAGATGGAGAGCCTCTGAAATCAAAGTCTAAGAAATCTGGGCGAACATTTAGGCGCAAAGGTGTGTCACATTTTACACCAAAGAAATTTAAGTCAGATGGTGATAAACGTACTGAAGTAAGTACTCTCAGATGGATATTTAATTAGAATTAAAAAATAGTAAGCTTGACTAACATTGATAATTCTGATATATGTTTTGTATATATAATTCCATATTTTAAATTGTAAGTAGTTTTGAGAGACAATGCAGTATAATAACATTATTAATTTACAGTACAATGAAACACATTCCTAGACATTGTCTGCATCCATCCAACATAATCCCAGAATATTTCATGAAAATAACGAATGTTGTTCTTTCTCAAATGACTGATTATAACAAGCAAATGTTTCTGAAACACTTTTAGTGGTTTCTCGGATTTACAGTTGTACCCTTACCAGTGTCATGTCTGTCATCGAGCCTTTCCTCGCAACTACAGTTTGAAACGACACCAGCTTCTGCATGTTGGGGAGAAGAAGTACATTTGTGAAATTTGTGGACATCAGTTCTCTCATGTGCACAACAGAGACAGGTCAGGAACTTGTCGTTTGTGACCTTAGAGTATCCTCAATGTATGTGTTTATTTTTTGCTGTATTGGGTGTTTCAGCCAATGAAAATGAAACTTTCTTGTTGAGTACAAATAAGATACCTAATATTTCTTCATAATTTTAATTAATTTTGCTTAGTTAGTTCCTTATTACTTAAGCTTTGAATTATAAGTAGACTTCTAATGTCCTGGTCTAAAATTGTTGTAGGATTGTTAGTGTTGTGGATATGAAATATAAGTAGAAAATAAACTAATATAAAAGAACAAAATTTAGTCCCACGGTACATTTTTATTCACTTTATCTTAGCACTGTCTTGTTTTCAGGCACGGTTCACATTATGCGGTTTGCGCCATGCGGTTGTTTTTACCATAGATGGCTCATTAAGTGTTCACATTCAACTGTGCGGCCATAAGTGCAGTGCGCCTAACCGCGCGGTTGTGTTACCATGAGTTCAAATGCAGGCATTCAGTTGCCCGAGCGGTTCGACCGATGAAGCACGTGTAAAATGAATAAAGTACGAGACATGCAGCCTCCTCCACGTCCATGGTGAATCTGGCTGCCGCGTCGCCAACCGCCCTGTCTGAACACTATCATTGAACCGCGCGGCGCAAACTGCGTAATGTGAACCATGCCTTAGTGTGATACTTTTTGTGTTACAGGCATGTTCGAAAACACCATAAAAATTATGGCAGTGACAACAGTGGGAAATTTACTTCCAACACAGTTTTGAAGAAGAAGCCACCAGGGTGAGTTAAGTCGTGAATTAGTGTTTACTGATGACAAATGATTTTAAATGTTGAAAGTTAAGTGTTTGGTAGTGGTTTGCACTTGGACTCTATTCATCACAGATAATGGATTTTGTTCTTACAGATTTTGATTAAATAACTCAGAAGCTGCAAAACTATTTTTAAATACAGTTGTTTACATAGAATTAGTTTTAATGGAGATGTTATTTTGTATGAACTACTGTTGTATTGGTATTAATTAAGTTTAGTTCTTGTATTTCAGTATTTTGACAAGGTTTCCAGATATGAAAGGTTGCTATGAATATTTTTAATAAGTAGTCATGTGGTCCTCCAGCTTGGGGGTTGGGTTGGAGGCTAACAGCTCCCCGCCGTAAGAAACTAGCGAGTTAACGAAATGTTACCGAGGCTTACTGCCGTTGCCATGTCGGCAATATTTAAGAATGATTTATGGTCACGGATATTCTTTGCATTTCAGGCCTGGTAATGAGTGGTTATGTTCACACTGCAGTCTGACTTTCACCAGTGCGTCAGTCTTGAATCTTCATACTCTAGCCCATGCAGCAGACAACTTAGAGGAAACAGAAATTATCACTGGACTGCCATCTGATTTCTATTCAGTGTACCATGCTGGGGAATTTCTTGTACAAAATGGTGATGTGCAGTGTCCACAGTGTACACAGGTACATTTCACACTGTACAGTGTTCAGTACCAGGGAATGAATTGCAAATAGTGACAATTTGAAAATTTCAGAAAATGTTTACTCACGTACAGTTTCTCTAATGGCACTGTCAGTAGCTCAGACCATATAACATTAAAGAAAATGAACTGATTTATTGAATTACATTTTACTCTTTAATGGTAGTATAGTTCCAGTAGATTTAGAATATATCAATTGAAATTAAATGTACAAAAATGTGTATTATTTATTATAAATAATTTCCAAATAATGAAACAGGTAATCCTGTGACAGTTGTTAAAAGTAGAGCAGAATAATGATAAACACATACACGAAGGTCTGGTGGTTTTAAATTAAATATTTTCAAAAGTGATAATTGGATAATTATTCAAATATAAATTATTTGAATAATTAATCGGCAGTTTTCAGATTTTTCTTTTCTCGCTGTATAATTCTGCATTTTGTATTTTAAGGTAGGTACACAGCCCTGTTGACTTAAAGTATCTGTGATGTACTTTTTCTTTTTTGTATCGGTGTTTCAATCTGTTCAGCTGAATACTAAATATAACTGCTCGTGTGT